GGGGCTCTCTAGATGCTGCTGGCACCTTGGCTGCCAGGCCAGGGCACCATGGACAGACGTGCACAGCCAGGGCAGAGCTCAGCAGCCACCTGGCTCTGCGGATGGGGCTGGAACTGAGCAGACAAGGCTGGGGCAGAGAGACAGGGACAAAACTCCCAGACCACTGCTGGGGCTGGAGCTCCATAGCCACTGCTGGGGCCAGACCCCCACCCATTCCCCCCCCCACACACACACACATGGGGTTGCCTGTTCCCCCCACTCAGTCCTGCCCCATCTCCAGATCACCCTTTTCCTGGGGTCTGTGGTCCAGGAACATCCATGGTCCATGCCAGACCACGGATGTTGCCGGACCAGGGAGTCTCCATTAAGGGAGGTAACACCTGTCCTCTTTTCTCTTCCTTTCTGTCCCAGCCAAGATTTGCAGCTCAGATAACTTTTGTTTAATGTTTTAGGAATGAGCCCATCTGATACTGGAGTCCAGTTTTCTGACACGGTTGTTAGTCTAATATCTAGAGGCCATATTTTCATCTGTGAAAACAAATATTAAGGGCTGGAAAGGGGATTTTGCAAGAAGGTTAAGGAGGCTGGACTCTATTAAGATGGGAATCAGTCATGCTTTGATTTTTAAATCCAAGTAAAGGATTTGCTTTGCAAATGCAACAGGTTTTTGTGTATTTGATTTTCGGTTTATCAAGTTTTGGCCATTCCACTCTCTCAAGAGTACAAATAAAATTAGGACAGTTGGATGTGGTGGTTTAAAGAGTATAAACAGTGATACTGCCTGGTATGTGAACATCTGAAATTTGCTTCTCAGGTCACTTTTACTTTGAAACATCTTCTTTTCAACCTGAAAAGATGTCTGCTAGGACAATTGTAATAAACCTCTATTTCTAATACGCTCACAACAAATGTACATTACAGACACATTTTTCCAGATATTTTGACCAATAAAGTGACGTGTGTGTGCACACACATACATTCATATTTAAAAATGTAACATACATTTTAAGTAGAGGATATTACCAGCCGCAGTCAAGGATAGCAGCTATAAAATTTTCTTTATACAACTTTCATACTGAACACGCATTGACATACAGTATTGATTATTGTCCAAGTTTTGGTCCTATTAAAACAAAAAGTGGAAGAACTAACTGAATGAACCAGGGTGAAACATGAATGTTTGTGGATGAAAACCATTAGGAGCAAAGACTAGTTGCAAACTTTTAACAGTTCACTTATGTCTTAGCCAGATTTCAAACCCTAATCTTTTGAAATGCAAAGCTTGTCTGTCATTCCACTGCAGCACACAGACCTCCCAAAATATGTATAATATGGCTACTGACATATTCGTCACCTCAAGCATTAAGATGTGAGAACTGTGATTTTGTCACTGGTATAATTCATGCCTTATAATCAGAAAACAAATCCTATGGAGCTCCGTAGTGTGTTCAGCCTTATCATAATGACTATTCTGTATCATGCTATGTTTTCAGCTGCCATTGGTAAATAATCCACTCTTTTCCTTTGAACACAATGGTGCAGCCCAGTTCTTAATATTACCTGGGTCCGTATCATTGTAACAAATCTTTTTCACAGTACTAGATTTTCCTTTAGGCTACTCATACTCTGTGAAAGAAAAAAAAGTGTTAATAGCTTTAATCAAAACATTATTGACTGAGATCATTAAAATCTCAGAGAGGCATTTAATTCAAAATTTCCCATATTCACAGTAGTAGTGTGACTGAATGACTGAAAAATCAACCTTTATGTCATAGTAGTTTCTTAGAATGTTTATTTACTTTTCCTCTGAGGCACGCTAATTGCAATAAGAGGTCTTCACAAGCAATCCAGTAGGCAAATATGATTGGTTCACAGATAAGGAGTGATTCATGATTAAAAACACACAAAGCCAGTACGTGCAGCAAAAAGTTATTAGACTTTAGGCCAAATTACAAAAGGAGTCTCCAAAATGACTAGTGAGGACAGTTTATGAAAACATGTATTTTTATATCTAAATGAAAACTCATCTACACAATTGCCTGTTAGGCATATGCAAGTGATCATGTACTTGTGAGAAAGATGTTTGCTTGCAGAAATGTGTGTCTTGCCTTATCCATACAAATGTTGGGTTTAGTTTCTTTGAACTGGTGCCTTTGCAATGTCTGCCAACACATTTTGGAAGAGACAGTTGAAAATTTGACCCACTCCCTGCTTAAAACAGTCTTGAATTTTTTTGTGAGCATTTTCCATTCTGTTATGAATGGAGTTTGTGAGCATCCTTGATAAATATTTGCTTGTATTGTACATGAACATGACAGATAATCACAAAGGGTACATCTACACTGTAGCCTTCTTGCGGAAAAGCTTATGCAAATGAAGTTGGGCGTGGAATATTGCTGTGCTTCATTTGCATAATTAATTAGCAGCCATTTTTAGAGCAGTGTAGACAGCTCCTTTTGTGCAAAACCCCCCTCTTGCACAAGAGCCGTTCTTCCTTATTTTTTCAGGAAGAACGGCTCTTGTGCAAGAGGGGGGTTTTGCACAAAAGGAGCTGTCTACACTGCTCTTTTTTGTGCAAAAGACTCTTGCGCAAATACAGCTGCTCATTAATTATGCAAATGAAGCACGGCGATATTCCACGCTGAGCTTCATTTGTATAAGCTTTTCTGCAAGAAGGCTACAGTGAGACATAGCCAAATTAATCTTTTCCTCCAATGTATTGATTAAGAATGCTTGTAATTATCCATTGCACTGCAGCAGAGTATGGTGGTAGCTTATATTTCACAGTGCCTTAAGTAAGAGTTCCAGAACAAGGTTATTCACAAGTGTGCTAGTTCAGAAATTGTTAATTAGGGAAGTGTTTCTCAAAGTGTTCTGCAGGCCTGCTTGGGCTGGAAATGGCAAACTAGAGCCAATGGGAGCTGTGAGGCGCCATGGCTACAGACCCCTTAGGTCAGTGGTTTCCAGTCTTTTTAAGTGCAAGATCACTTTTCCAATTTAAGTCAATCCAGGATCTTCAAACCGAAATACCCTTGTCCTACCTCCTTCTTTACCCCTTCTTTGAGGCTCTGCCCCACCACACCCCTTTTTCAAGGCTCCACCCCATTCTGTGGAGATGGGGTACAGAGGTGGGAGGAAGGGAACATCCTGACATCAGTGGCCCCACTCTTCTGCCTCCCACACCTTGAATAGCAAACAGAAGCCCACCAAGCGTAAGGGCAACTTCAAGGCCGAGACCAGGAGCAGCACAGCAGTTGAGGGAAGGGCAGATGAAGTGCTCTAGCTCCAAGCCAAACCAATCAGGATCACCTATCACAGGCTCCAAGATCTACCAGTAGATCCTGATCTACTGGTTGGTGACCACTGCTTTAGGTAAACAAAGTGGCATAGGCCCACCAGCAGCTTTCCCATAGCGGGTCCATGGAATCATAGGGCTGGAAGAGACCTCAGGAAGTCATTGAGTCCATCCCCCTGCCCAAAGCAGGACCATCCCCAACTCAATCATCCCAGCCAGGGCTTTGTCAAGCCGAGACTTAAAAACCTCTAGGGATGGAGATTCCACCACCTCCCTAGGTAACCCATTCCAGTATTTCACCACCATCCTGGTGAAATTGTTTTTTCTAATATCCACCCTAGACCTCCCACACTGTAATTTGAGACCATTGCTCCTTGTTCTGCCATCCATCACTACTGTGAACAGCCTCTCTCCATCCTCTTTGGAACCTCCCGTCAGGAAGTTGAAGGCTGCTAGCAAATCCCCCCCTCACTCTTCGCTTCTGTAGACTAAATAAGCCCAAATCCCTCAGCCTCTCCTTGTAGGTCATGTGCTTCAGCCCCTTAATCATTTGGGTTGCCTTCATGTGGCCTCACCAGTGCAGAACTGGTTGAGAAACACTGCATTAGGGTAAGGTAGTCATTTAGCTTAGTTCATGTTCAGTGTGGGAAAAGTTAAAATAATTAGGACATGTACTATATATTTTGGCCAGTTGCTGACTATGTGTTGCAAAAATAGGGAGAGCATGCTAGTTAGTAAGCAGAGATCATCTGTTCCTGTGTTCTATTTTTATAGATTTGTAAATTATTGCTTTGATTGGTTCCAAGATATTTAAGTTATTTTGCAGCTTTGTAAAACTAAAATAATTATCTTGCCCCTTTCCCCAAATGTTAATATATATTTTAAATTTTAAACTTGAAAAAAATGTTGCTTTTTTTCAAACAGGACTTCTTCTCAATGCAAACAAAACCTCAGATGAAAGCTTATACTGTAGTATGAAAATGAGTTGCATTATAAGACATCTGCTACTCCTTGAACTTTGATATAGACCTTTCTTGAAAATGTCTCTTGTTTAAGTGCCAAAAGTCATTCTCTTCATTTTGCTTGCCTGATCTGTATTTTTCTAAAGGCAGATTTGCTGTTTCTTCTATCCAAACAATCCTTTCATGCGGAAGTAGCTTTTTCTTCTATCCAGACAATCCTTTCATATCTAAATATTTTCCTTTCTTTTTTCAGGACAGCCTGACTTTGCTGAAACTCAGGCTATTCCTTCCAAACTGCCTTCGACTTCCTACATCCTCCCCCATACAGTGATGAGCAGGGCTGTTGCCTGACACAGTTTCTAAGTAGCTGGCCTTCACAGTGGAACATGAAGCTCAGAAGGGTCAGGACCATGAGGAGGAGATAAGCCCATGACATTCCAAGGGGCTTGCACACTACAACTTTTTATTGCAAATGTGAGTGGAGGCATTTTATTGTAGTTAGGTGGAAGAAGTACAAAGTATGGACTGTAAATGTTTTATAGAACCAGCACTATGAAAATTAGTAATATAAAACTTGTTATGATGACTATATGTTGTATTAATATATATTATGTCATAATATATAGGAAATTTTTGAAATAAATAGAATTTAATTATTTTGTTTTAAGTGAAAGGTACTAGATTATAAATCCTGGAAGCTGAAATTTTCTTTTTCTTCATATAGGACCAGGCAAGGACTTGGTCATGCCTCCTACTGCTATTCACATCATGAGTGAGATGCAGCCCCTATATGCACAGTCTCACACAAGTGGGTGGGCAGAGCAGGTGGGAAAAGTCAACGGGCTGAGCCTTACATGAGTGATATAGGAGAGTGTGTGCTGCAGTGCATATAGACTCATGCTGTTTACTCCCTACTCAGAGCAACACAAGGACTGAATCACTATCTCCAATGCTTCTCTAACAATATCTTGCAGCCTCTTATGTTGGTAGTTCATAAAGGGTAGTTCATAATGTCCATTATTCCAAAATAACTATGCGAATGTCTACACAGAGATGCCGTTATTTCAAAATTATTTTGAAAAAATGGGTGGATTATTTCAGTGTTGGTAAACCTCATTCTGCGAGGAATAACAGCTCTTCCAAAATAGCTATTTCAAAATAGTGGCTGTGTAGAGAGGGCAGC